ATAATAGCTTCTACTCGCCCATTCACTTATGTGAATTATGTTCTGGGAATCATTGATTTCTGTAAAGATGTAAAGATGGATGAGAAAATCTCTATCTTCCATGAACTCACAGCCCAATGAGGGAGACAAACTAAAAATAATAACTACAGTAAACTACAGGAGATCCCAGCATGAGATGTCACACAGGAGCGAGCAGAGTGCTGTGGGGTGGCCAAGACGGGGCTTGCCTGTTCCTAGCAGGAGTTCCTGGAGCATGACTGGGACTCAGAAGAGTAGGAGTCACACATAGGGGTGCAATTGACAGGAGCTTCTGAGCATAAAAAGTGTTTTATGTGAGGACAAGGCTCCAGCCAAGTGACATCTGAAAACTCAGACTCTGGGAAGATATATGGTGAACAGCCAAAGGTGGAGCTTAGCTGTGTGGCCTTGAGTGAGTGACTTATAAGCTCTGTCTCCTCTTCTGCAAAATAGGCAAGTCATATTTGTCTCATAATAAGCTTGTGGCGATAAAATGAAAGAATGCAACATTTTCACAGTCATCACTGAATTAGTCCAATTCATGACTTTTCTAGTGTCAAAATATTTGATTTAAATTTTTAATGTTTGTTAGGTAGAAATGGGAAGAAACCCTGGAAGAATAGAAAAGAAGCAGACAACTGTGGTTGTCAGTATTGACAGCTGCTGAGCATTCTGGCCTTTGTCCTCTGGCCCACCAAAGGCTAGCCAAGGTTTCTATTGATCAGATTCATTTTTGCTTTTGTTTTGTCATGGAATTTCTCTCTTGTATCTCTATGGTTCATTGGCCTGTGGTGAGTGAGGGACAGATAACAGGTTAGACAAATAGAATTGGGGTTGAGAGAAGATGGGGTGTGAAAACATTGGGGAAAAAAAGATGTTTATGACATAAAATTGACAAGATTTGAATGTGGAAGGGTGAGTGTGGCTGGTTGGGTTTAGAGAATTTTTCAGAGGGCCATAGAGAGGAGACATAGTTTGGGAAATGTACAAACAAGGAGTTGATCCAAGTAAGAACCACAAAAAGCCAGATATACTGTCCATAAGATCACTGGCTAAGAAGCTATGAGAGAAAATATCTAAGCAAGAGCAAATACGTGGAAACCTGGGACACTGGGCTAATGTGACAATCTTAGCAGAGTATGTGTCATGGATCCTAAACACATTTTCTGAGCTGCCAACAGTCAGAAAAATGACTTAATCTAATGTCTGTGGCCAGCTATTGAGCAAGGCAGGAGCTGGGTGAGGTTGCTTTCCAACATAGTCATTCAACACTCTTTTATGTTTAATAAGCATTCAGAATTAATCTAAACCCTTCTGAAGTTATAGCAAGATGTTTCAAGGATCTTGGTTTTGATTAATAATTCTCCCCAACTAATGTACTTCCTGTGGGTAGTTCAGACACTGCATACAGACTTTCACTTACTCTGAGATCACCAAAGAATCATTTAGAAAGCAACTGCTCAGAAACCTAATAGCACAGCCAAAGTGTTAATGCACCTTTTCAAAGCACTAAGGAGCAGAGCAGATTCAAACAGATGTACTGACTATGTATAAAAAATACATGGTGACGCACCTCATCTGATCTATACTTGAAGAGGTCCCTTTTTATGTGTGAGATTCTGCAAGTTAATTTTTCCTGTCTCTGACATTCAAGTGTTTTTAATTGCCAGCCGTCAGGATTTGCCGTCGGTATGAATCAGGGGGGTTTTTATTTGATTAAGCCAGCTTATCTGTCATCCATCACAATTAATCCATTCTATCTTAATTACTTTTCCATTTCCAGAACCAATCATCACATATTAATACAAATATAGGGAAATATGAGTCATTCTCATAAAATAAGAGCACCAGAATGTGTACCAGCTATGGTCTGGGTACTTTCTTCACATATTTAGCAAGGTTCAAAATAGCTTGATAAGAAAATACTCATATTCTGCTAGAAATATGGAAATCGGAAATTCATATTTCACTCTCTTCGTTTACCTTATGACACTAAATATCTAAACCCCATCATTTATATTCCAGAATCTCAGTCTTGTTTTTATATGTTCCCAATGACGAATTGTATCTTAGGAGGCCTCTGTGCTCCGGGAGGTTATTGTCGGGTGGGTAGTAAGGCCAGGGTGTGGTTTGTCACCGTGCATGTGTGGGCTTTTCATTCACTCTCATTGAGCATGACTCTAATCCCTGGGGAGGCACCAGCCAATGAGGCAGAGGATTCCAACTCCCATTGAGCTCACATTTTTCTAGGGGAGATAGTAAACAAACAGCAATTGTAGTGATGAGTCGTGTGCAAAATTTAAAAGAAGGTAGTAGACAGTGGTTCAGAGGCTGCTGTGGCTGGGGTGCTTGGAGAAGACCTCTCTGAAAAGGTGAACTGAAGGGGACACTCCAGTGTCCAGAGATGCCTCAAGCAGATCCAGGACTCAGGGTTGTGGGAGGAAGATACAGCAAGAGCAAAGGCCCATTAGTGGGACTGTAATCGGGAAGCTGCTGTAGGCCAGCCCTGCTGGTGTGGCATGAACAGGGAAGTAGTAGGAGATGAACCTGGGGAATGTGAAAGCTTTAACAGAAAGAGTGTGTGGATTTCCGTCCAAGTTTCATGCAAAGCTGTTGGAGGGTTTGAAAGACGGTCATGATGTGATCAGATTTACATGTTGAAAAGGTCCTTCTGGCTGCTCTGTGTGGAATGGATTGAAGAAAACAAATATGAGACAGAGATCCAGTCCAGTTGAGAGGGGGATATGGCTTGCATCCAGCAGCAGAGGGAAGAGCTGGATCATTTCAGGATTTGTTTAGAGGTATAGCAGAAGATCTTGATGGATTGGCTATGGTAGGGCTTTATAACAGAGAAAGAAGAATCCATCAAGGATACCTCGAATTTATTTATTGGACACATTAGAATTTCTACAACCCTTAGCCATTTTTTATAGCTATCGTATTCATTGCTTTCAAAGGTTGATTCTTTTTGTAGTTGCCTGTCTCTGGGGTAAAGCAGAGCAGTGCATGGCTTCCAATCTGAGTTGTCGAAACTAGTGGCCATACAACCTGGCCAGTTTCTTAATCCCTTTGTCCTTAGTCTCTTCAATCAAAAGAACAGAATAAAAATTTCACCTGTTTCATATGGTTGTCATCAGAAATGACCAAGAAAAAAAAAACACATAGGCTTGCTTAGCACACTACCAGATTATAGTAAGACTATTCACTATTAGTAAATATTAGAGATTGAGTACTATATTTCTGTCTTTTCCTCCTCACTTTTGCACATCCAGGCCTCAGTACACAGTAATAAGAATTATAATTAGATTTTTTTAAGAAACAAGAAATTTCTGTTCCTTCTATCATTCCATAATTATTTCATGTATCAAATACTAACTTTAGAATTTCAGAACACTCAGACCTGTTGAATATATTCCCAACTTCCATATATAATAGTATTTGTTTTTTAAATGACTTTTGTTGTTGTAGTTATTTGGGTTTTAAAAAATCTGTCAAGACCTTTTAGAGAGATTGTCTATTACCAGCTTTAATATAAAGTTACTGTTTTCAGCTTTTTAAATGGGGCAAGAGAGGATAGGTATCTGATCCCAAGATTATGTAAATGATATGAAAACCTAATGTGCTGTGTCTGGCAATGCCGCAACACCACAGGTCCCTGTTCAGCCTGGTTTTCTGTTTGCCCTTTGGGCTCAGGACCACGTGGGATCTACTGTATGGAAAGACCCAGTTTGTTTAGGTGTCAGCAAAATCTGAAACTCTCTCTTCCTCTGACTGATTTTCATTTAAACTCTGGTGCCTGCCACTCTGCTGGGCTGTAGCTACATTTCAGACTCTTGAACGTGGTTCTTTGTTTCTTCTCAAAATAGGCTTAAGAATAGTAGGAAAATAGAGTGGGTCAGCACAGCATATGGTTAAATATTTCATGGGCAGATGTGCTTGAGAATAAAAAGGAAATTCTTTTGAGTTCTTATCTGCATTGTGAATGTGCCCTGCAGATGTTCCATCATTTCAGCTGGGATTAAGGTACATTTAGCAAAGGATACTTTTCATGAGATAACACATTAACTTAATTTTTGAAAGGAAAAAAAAACTGTTTCCAATGGTTCATTGGAGTTCATGGGGCAAGGACACCCCTCTTTGGCTGTAATACTCCTAGAGTGTCACCATGGATGCAAGAGAATCATGGCATTCAGCACAGGAGGCTTGGGAATTCCTTCCTGTGCAAAATTTCAACATTATATGTGTGTGGGTTTGTTCTCTAATTCTGGTTTCAGGTTCTTTGTCTCATATTTTGTAATAACAGGATAAAAACATTTTATGTCAGCTCTCTTGCATGATGTGGCACATTAAAAAAAAAAAAAACATTCTTAATATAACAAAGTCCCTAAATCTAAAATGTGAGATGTTCCTGTTAAACCCTTGCCCTGTTGAATCTACAGAGGGTGGGATCTGCTAGTTTTTCATGTTTGCTTCCACTATTGGTCTCTCATAAATTATTATGCTGATTGCCTGGATACTGTGTCAAATTTGTAAATGTTGCATTATTTCTAATCTCTACAGGAAAATATATGGTGTGGATTTTTTTGGTACATCAATAACTAAATCAATGCGTGTGTCAGTTGAAATTTTTACATGTCATTGAGCTAAAACAGGGGAATCTATAATGTCACCTACTTCCCCCAAAGACAGGGTGGTCATGACTATTTAAAAGTTTGATGTAAACACCAATGTGGGCATAAAGAATCAACTCAGTTCTCAACCCTGCACAGAAAATGGACCAGTGGGGCTCTCATCCATCCTGTGTGCTACTTATACATGCCTACTGGGTGGATATCTGGGGAATTATTCCAGCAGCCCAATATCCCACCACTTCAAAACTTATCACCCCAATTTCATATATTAACGTTAATATTTAAGTTTTTATTATTTTTTAGAAATATATGGGCATACCTCACTTGTATATGTTTGATTTTCTACTGTAGACACGGGAGCAGAAAGACAGGCACTGAGAGAAAATGTATATCCTAAACTGAGAGAATTCTGCAGAGAAAACTATGGACTGGAATTTCAGGTAACTCTAATGCTAATTTCATTTTTAATTATATCAGCTGAATAAGTAGTGGTTCGTTTCTTTTTAGAATTCGAGTGTGGTAAAATACAAGTTGTAAGCCCTGAAAATGTTCATTTCTATAAGAATGGGTATAAAAGAAATGTTGGAAAATGGAAATAAAAGTTATTTTTAATGTTTTATAATTTTGTGCTGTGATTCTTGGACCCTGCCTGGTACTGGCCATCTTTTTGTTTTTTTAATCGTATTCATTTGCTTTTTAACAGTCTCTACTATCAAAAAGATAGGTCACTGAGCACCTGCCCTTAAATTTTAAGCTGTGGTCTTCAGGGATGTTCTGCATCTAAAGGCAGGGCCAACTTTTTGAAAGTATTTCTTTTTCAGCAACCTGGCCAGCTCTTGCCTTCTATCTGCCTTCCAGTTTTTAATTCACATTGTAGAATATTCTTTTTTTCTGAGTATTTCAGGGCTTTACCATTTACCCAAAAGTGTGTGTGTGTGGGGGGGGGTATTAAGGTTTGAATATGAGGTATTCCCCAAAAGCTCCTGTGTTAATGTAGGAACATTCAGAGGCAAAATGATTAATGAGAGTTGTAACCTTTAAGTCCATTGTAGTTTGAATGGACTGACTGGGTGGCACCTGAAGGCAGGTGGGTGTGGCCGAAGGAGGTGGGTCACTGGGGCATGCAATGAAAGAGTTCATCTTACCAGTGGCCCCTTCTCCCTTGCCTCTGCTTCCTGGCCACCATGAATGAAGCAGCACCGTGATGTGCTGCCTCTCCTTGGGCCCAAAGCAGTGGAGTTGGCCCACCATGAACTAAACCTCTGGAACTATGAGCTAGAATAAATTGCCCCTCTTCTGAGTTGTTCATGACAGATATTTTGATCACAGCAAAGAAAAGCTGACTAAAACAGCTTTTATGTGTGTATGTGTGTATCAGCCTGACAGTAACTTCCCATGTCATTGCTAAAGTTCATATGGTTTTTATACACCGTAGATTTTGCACCTGAAGAAAAAAAAAAAAAAAAAAACGGTACTTGAAAACATTGAATGCATCTTGGACATTCAAAACTTGAAAAAGTAAATGGCTCCTGAAGAAGATAATAGTATCTATTCAGAATTTTTCAGCTGGCCACCATTTGCACTTACAATGGAAATCTTAAGTCTCTGTTACTACCTCAACTGCACATCGACATTGCCAAGTGATGCATATGTAATAGGGTTTATGGTACAAGAATGGAAAATGTACCATTGTTAATGGATGAAAATGTCACCCTTCATTTGTTGCCTCTTAGATAAATATTTTATCTTGGTATACCTCATGATGTGTTCTAATATGATGTATAAAGTAATTGTCTCTAAATGGCCTCAGTCTCAGAGCACAGTGTCAGCAGCAGGCCCTATGACACACATAGTGAATAGTTACTCATAAGTCACCATTTACTTGATAAATTGTGAGCCTAAATTAAATTCCTTGTCATGAATTCAGGACTGCCTTCTCTGAGGAATCTGGTTCTACTGATAACAGGGTCCCAATTGTTACAAAACTTCCAATCTGTCAGGATTCCCGACGACTTGGACACTCCTTCGGGACTCTGTTGCTATAGAAAAAGAAATGTGTCCAAGCATATTAATCCCATCTTTGAGTTTGTTTTGCATCCTTCTTGTTAGTAAATAGAGGAGGTTGTTGACTGGCCTGCATAGAACACAGTATTGACAAGGATTTGCTGAGGGGGAAAAAGAGTATAATTTCCAAATTAGCGGTGGGCACAGGAGAATACAAGAGAGCCAGAGGGAAATTGCAGAAGGCAAAGCCTGTAGAATAAATTGAGGGCAAGAATCATTCTAGACAGGTGTACTGAGATCCTGGAAAGAAGACATGGACTAGGACCCCAGAGTAAGTTAATTGGCCCATCCTTCAGCTCAGTATTTATACTAGGGATTGTCACTCCTTACAGGTCCGAGATGGTGTTTAGAATAAGTAAACCTTGCAAGGTTGCATTTGCTTACCAGTTGTAAGCTCGGCAGGAGCTCAAATACATAACATCTGAACCTTCTAAGACTGTACTTCTTACTCTAGACTTTTATAGTAGGTTATTTATGGAGCTTTTCCCAGAAGCTATATTTTCCAGCGAGATTGTTCTCTCTCCTCAGCTGCAATAAAATATGTGCCAGAAGCTTCCTGAGAAGCCAGTTCACCTCACAGTATCCCAGATTCCATCTTTGCTTGTGCCCTGCACCCAGAAGAAATCCATTTTCAAGTCACTTAGACACACCAGTCTATTTGGTACCTGCCTCTGTTTGCTCATATTTGGGGGTTTAGTCCCTCCACCTGCAGTGCTTTCCATCTGGCACCTCCCCTATGTCACCTCCTGCATTCTCCGACCTGATCTCAAGTTGCTCTCCTCTCTTCCTGGCCCACTGCTCTGCCGCCTCTTGTGCTGCTTTGGCTCTTTCCTTCAGCCATGATCCATGTCAGGAATACTTAGCTCTTCATCCTCATAGGCCTGCTTTCTAATTGTCCCTCGGGTCTCCACTGAAATGTCATTTCCTAGAGATACTTCTCTGATGATACAGTCTGAAGTCACAACATAGATATTTTATGATGCAGTATTTTTTTTAAAGAGAGAGTGTGTTTTTAATATTTATTTTTCAGTTCTCGGCGGACACAACATCTTTGTTTGTATGTGGTGCTGAGGATCGAACCCGGGCCGCACGCATGCCAGGCGAGTGCGCTACCACTTGAGCCACATCCCCAGCCCCTATGATGCAGTATTTTCAGTTCTTTGCATAGCATGTGTCAGTCTCAGATATCTTTCTTGTTTGCTGATGGATTGGCTTGCTTATTTTCTTTCTCCCACAAGAACAGGGGCTTGTCTACCTTCCTGGAAGCTACATTCATGTCTCTAGAATAGTACCTGGTACCTAGGAAAAGTCTGTAAGACTTTATTAGTGAATGAGGAATGAACACACAAAAAGAGGACTCAGTCCAAGAATCATTTCCTTAAGAAAACTTTCTCTAATCCCAGGATGTGACATATGCCCTTCTTATTGTTCCTCTAAAATTCTGTGCATAACTACCAATCATTCAGTATATTTTTAAAATGTGTGTTGAGCACTGACCACATGGCGGTCAGCATTCTAAGCTCTGGGACTACAGAAGCAAACCCCAGAGGCCCTCTTCTGTAAAGTTTTCAGTGTTGTTGAGGGATACAGATAATAAATGGATAAATTCCAGCAGTAATAAGTGCAGCTTATCCCATAAATGCTTTGATGAAAAACAAAGCAGGGGTAAGGGGGTTTAGGGAATGCCAGGTGGTCCAAAAAGAATTTGAGCAGAAATCTGCAGAAGGTGACAGCAAATCATGTAGATGTCAAGGAAAGGAGAATTCCAGATGTAAGGAACAAGGAAAAGGATCTGAGGAGTGGGTTTAGAACATCCTAAGAAAAGTAAAGAAGCCAAAAAGGAGTGGAGTGAGGGAAAGAATTACAGTTGACATCAAAGTTGGATCATAAGGGACCTTATGGGCCAAGATTAAGGACATGGAATTTCATTGAATGAGAGGAAAAGAGCAACATGATAAGACTTTCAGAGGCTTGCTTAGGCGCTTTGAACAGGGAGGAATGGTGGAACAAGAAGTGGTCATGGCAGGCTCTAACATGAGCAATGGAGAGAATGAGATGTCACTTGGTGGGCGCTTCCTCACCTGTCTTTAAGGACTGCACGTGTGTCTTATTCAGCTCATCCCAGTGGTCACTTAAGCAGCTGGTACATCATAAGCCATTTAACAAAAGCTTTCTTAGATTAGATTGATAAACATGCAGTAGGATGTTAAGCCAGCCCATGTGCCTTTGATCTACGTGCCTGTTTAGCGGGCCATTCTGTGGCATTGCCTTTGTTTCTTTCATTTAAACTCAGATGTTTAATGAAAATGCGCCAGTCTGATTATGTGAACTTCAATTAATTCTGCGTGTGACCTACAGAGTGACTACTCAGAGAGGAAAACAACAGTGGAAAGAACACCAAGCCCCCTCAAAGTGATGAACGCCCGTGGATTCAGAAAAAGGCACAGCGTTTAAGTGTGGCATTTAATTTGCTGGTGTTCACTAAGTGCCTTTGGCTACAAAGAGGATAGAAAAATAAGAACAAGGGGAATGAATTGAGAAAAATAAAAGCAGACTGGGGCGAAAGCATGTGGTGTGGGACCCAATAGATAAAAGGCTGATGATTCTTCCCCAGATACCACCTGTTCTTGCTTTCAAATCTCCTCTCCATTCCTGCTGCTCAGACCCTGCTCTAACCTGCAGGGCTGCAAGTAGTGAATGAAGATACAGCACCTTAACAGGTCTCTTCCTGCTTACCCCCACCAGGCCAGGAGGAAGGAACTCTTTTGTTTTTAAGTCCCCAGGGCCTAGAACAGAGTTCCATGTTGAGTAGGGTTTTAGAAAAATGTGCTTAGCAGAACCACCCACCACCAGCACCCTACTTGAGTCTTTCTATACACCACCACCAGAGCATCCTCTTGAAAGGTCATATTGTGGGTTCCTTTAGGTGTTGAATGGCGTCCATAGCCTCCAGGGTTTTAATGTGAGCCTAGCTATTTCTCCTGCTTTTCTGCTATTCCTCCTAACATTAGCAGTCAGGCCATTCTCAGCCTTGGAACACAGCTGGCCCATGGCTCGTTTTGGACTCTGAGATCTTATTCTCTGTACACATTTCAATTTTCCCCTCCTATCAGACATACCCTTTCACCACCAGCCACCCTTATCCCTGTCCTTCAAAGGCCATCTCAAAGCCTGACTTCCCAGTGACAGGTACCCAAAAGAATGCAAAAGAGACAGTAACTAGAAGAGATGTAATTGGAATAAAATTCACTTTTACATGTTAAAAAAGAAAAAGCTCAGAACATGATTAAGAAAATAGTTATTTCACTTATCAAAATAGTAACTTTTTGATTACTTTTGAACATTACATTAATAGGATGCAGGACCTAAAATAATA